TAAGTGTCCAGTTTAAGGGTATTACACAGAAACATACCAAGGGAACATGAATCAAATATGCACTTTTATTCATTTACAATAAACTCATAAATTACATCATTCTGATTGAAGCTAAGGGCATACAAAACTGTCTAACAATGATAACATGACCTCCTCCTTTAATGTTCTGTCAAAGGAATTAATGGTGAATTCCCATAATCCCATGTCATGAAAATCTAAATGATGTATAAAGGTTTGAACTAATCTTGGCCATGGACATGGTATAGTAGATAAAAGTAAACATTAGATCCATCAGGATGGTTTTTCAAGTAATGCTTCAATATTTCTAAAGAATCTAGGCCATACACCGAGTCAGTCCAAATATATAGGCCATGAAAATGGTCTTTTAAGATAAATGAGTTAATCTCAACCATCCAAGCGATGCACCAAGGTTCCAATTAATTTGGACCATCCAAACAATGTATCAAAGGATTCAAATCAACCCAAAAATCTAGGCTATAAGAGTGGTCTCTTAAGAATGCACCAAGATTTCAACTAAACCTGACTGTTCAAGTAATGCACCAAAATTCCTAAAAAAATGCAGGCTAGTAAAGTGGTGTACCAAATAAAATCCAGGATCTGGAACATCAAAATGACCTCCTAATATCATTCATATTAATCTCAGCCATCCAAATGATGTAATGATTCCACTAATCTAGCCAATCCAAATTATGTACCAAATCAACCTAAAGGTCTAACCCATTAGATTGGTCTTCCAAGATCAGTGAATTAAACTCAACCATCCATGTGGCATACCAAGATTTCAACTAATCTAGGCCATCCAAATAATATGCCAAGAATGTTATTAATCTTGGCCATTCACATACTGCACCAATTTTTTTCTGAAAAATTCAGATCATCAAAGTAGCATTCTAAGCATAGTTGTCAAGACGAAGCCAAGGCGGGGTGCCTAGGTGACAAGGCGCCTTTGGAGGCTAGCCTCGCCCAGTTTCCAAGCAGTTTTGCATACTGTGCAATAAAATACTTTTATATTGTTATTTTTTTAGATTATAGTTATAAAATAGACATTATTAAAGAAAAACAATCATTTTTTTTGTGTTTATAAACTATTTTTTTTTTTATTATTTTCTTATTTGTTAGGGTTTAATCAATACAAACATTGCTAACTGCTGTATTGAACCCTCAATGACTTCAAAATCTGAACCAATAAGTGAGGGAACTAGGGAAGAACTTAAAATTTTGTCTAATCAACACATTTCTTCTTCCACCTTTTCTTTTCTTCTTTTTCTATAACAAAAATAGGGGTTCAACCCCTATATTTTTCGAATTTTTTTTCCTTTCTTCTTTTTCTTCTCATAAATATGTTGATTTTCTTGACTTAAACATGAAGTTTATAATTTTCTTATGAAAATTATGGATAGTTATTAAAGAAAGTTGTTTATGGAACCTAGGGAGTAGGGAACTACCCTGGGGCATGTGGTTTTAACTTTAAAAAAAAATCCATCGCCAAGGCGACAAGGTGCCCCCCTGTCGCCTAGCCTCGCCTTGGCGCCTTGAAAACTATGATTCTAAGACCAATTTATTCAATCTCGGCTATTAAAATGCTTTACTAAGACTTCATCTAATCTTGCCCATCCTAAAGATGTATGAAATCAACCTAACAAAGTGCTTTCCTAAGATTGGTTAATCAATCACAACCATCAAAGTAATGTACAGAGTTCAACCAATCTACACCATTCAAAAAATATACCAAACTAACCCAAGAATCTAGGCCATTAAAGCAATCCCTTAGAGCAGCAGATTAATGTTGTTCATCCAGGTGATATTCTGAAATTTCAACTAATCTAAGCCATCTATATGATATACTATTCAAATCAATAATCTGCTTCATCAAAATGGTGTTCATAAATGAATGAAATGGCTATAGGGCATCCAAATAATGTACCATAGTTTCCAGATGGTAGGTTATATGAATTCTGCCACTGATAAAATCAGACATTATCTCTGATTTTCTCTCTGGACCACTGCTTTTACCACTAGTTTAGTCATTCCTTCTATCAACATATTTGCCTTAACCATCTCCAATTGCTAAGGTCAGTCTATTACTCCCATTATCAATAAAAAAGGTCAGTCTATTACTCTTAGACATCCGAAGGATGAGCCAATATTTCAGCCACCCCCACCTTTCCTATTATCCCAACATTGCTGCTGTCTCCATTTCCTCCATCTCCACCATCAGTCCATTGCCCACACACCAACACCTGTTTAATCTTTTTCTTCACCCGACCTTTACCATCCTCATCATTACCTTATCCATCACAACCAGTCTACTCATCTCCACTTCAACCATTGCTTCCTCTGTCATCCCCACCACTAGCCCCTATACGATCCTATGCCACTAGGGAGTTGATATAATGTGAAAGTATTGGTTAAGTGCAAAAAAATGGTATAGGGGCCTAAATGTCATAGCCCTCAAAGTACAGGGGTCCCTGTAATTTAACATAATTTCAATCCTTGTTCTTTATCAGAGAAGACTAGGCTAACTGTTAGTGTAAATGTTTTCTTTATGCTTACAACAGATTTACTGTTACTTTCTTGTTATAAAAATTCTTGTATTTAATTGGATGTTCCACCACTTTTGCACTTTTGTTTTACTAGGTTCGTGTGAATGGTCCAGAGACAGCACCTGTCTACAAATTCCTAAAATCAAGTAAATCAGGAACATTTGGATCTAGGATAAAATGGAACTTCACAAAATTTCTAGTTGATAAAGAAGGCCATGTCGTCCATCGTTATGGCCCGACAACTTCCCCATTGTCCATTGAGGTAGGCTACCAGTCTTCTGGTTGCTTATGTGGCAACTTATTTATTTGTTTCATTCATTCATTCCGTTGCCTGCATTTCTCCTTTTGGAATTCTTATTCTTTGCTTCTTTGGTGTAAATGCAGAAAGATATCAAGAAAGTGTTGGGAGAGATATGAGACTTCGTTAGTTCATATTCAATTTGGTTTCAGACAACAGACAACTTATGTAATTGTATTTACATGTTCTTCAAGAATTAGGTAGAGATTCTTTAGTTCTCCATTTATGCCTGGGAAGAGGTTCTTGCTTCCCCCCACCCCCTGCAGCCATTGGATTAAAGTATTGGTATCACAGAGAATTCTGGAAATGCAATTACACTTGGGAAATACTAAGACACATAATGTCATAACATCAATAACACATTCTGAAACCCCATTGGCTATAAATACTGTTAATAGTTTGTATGAAGTAATACTTTGCAATCAACACTATAGACAATAGACATGGAGAAACTATAATTTACATTTATATGCAAAGTAGACACAAACTCGTTAAGGTATAAAGGTGTAAGATTTATTTTGAGATAATCTATAAATTGTTTACACATGAACCCATTTTATGAACTAATATCAACCAATTGACCCCATCTACCCTCTATGTAAGATCAAATATGAGACTCTAGAACACTTACTTTTCTACTGTGATGCTGCTCAGTCTGGTTTGGAAGTTGGCTGGCAGTTTGTATGAAAGAACATGGGGACAAATCTTTCACTGACAATGGATGCATATATTAACATAAGGAGTATCAGGGTTTGAAAATACTGAACATGTTTCCTCTGGCCATGGCGCTTTCCTGTTATGGAACATACAGAAGGGAAGAAACAAACTGCTTTTGACAAATCCCAGTTTGACCCAGCAACAGTCATTAGAACGGCACGATATCAAGTCTCAGAACGTATTCAATTGAGCACAAACAATACAATGAAAAGTAATGAGAATCCTCAACATATGTGAATATCTATCAAGCTATGGTCCTACCACCTTACCAATTGGAGGGCCTCAAACTTGCACGAGAACTTCAGATGTCAATTAACTTTATGCTGATGATAGATTGGATCTTAGTTTTACACTTTTACCAGATTTTTTTTGAGGCGTCTGGAGAGTCTTTTGGGTACACTGTAATTAATATCTGAACTGATTTCTGGTCTTGGTTGTTTGGTAACTCTCTACCTCAAGAAGAACGCTTTGCCAACTTTTTGATGGTTTTTAAGAACACAGCGAATGGTGCAGGGAAGTGTTGGAAAGCTACGTCTACAAGCTCTTCAAATCTCCCCTTTTTTCATTCAGCGGTTCTCCCACTGACAGCGACTAACAGTAGTTATGACTGCTTTCTTTCTGAAACGTCTACTTGATAATATTCTTCTGGACAGTGATAGATAATATGATCAAGTATGCCTGCTCTCTACGTGACTGCAAGTATTTCAATGGCTCTGAAGTAGTCTAATCGCTAGGATCTGTTGAACCATGCATGCCCAATCCAGAGAATTAATTGGTTGGCCTCTGGATGGTGCGAGTGAAGGTGCTCTATGCAGACATACGCTCTACATGAGAGCTCTCTTGCAAGTCATGTCCTCTTCATCTTTCCTTTTCAGATAGGACATGAAGTGAACTACTAATTGGACCCTTGATCTGGGACGCACTAGTCAATTCAACAAAGGTGGATAATTCCTATTTTTACTAAAAAAGAATTCCTTGTTTGGATCAGAATGCAGTTGGGAAGAATATGTCTATACGATTTGCAACTCGACATAAACATGTCAAGCACCCAGAATCCAGATCACTCTGGCCTTTTCAAACCAGCTAGCAAAATGGGAATCTCATGCTGTTAGACTAATATGTGCTAATCTACTGATGACCCAGATCGAAATTGTTTGATTTCGATAGGACGGATGAACCACCAGGCCAAGTTTGATGGTTGAGGTTCAGTGGGCAGTACATCTGTCAGCATCTGGTACAAGCCCATAACCCAGAAAGCAGATAAAAATGCAGAGTTGGGTCAATAAACTTCTAATCAATCTCCTGTTTAATTTGCTCAAAAGCACTACAGCTAGCTGGAACTTGCAAGGATAGAAAAGGTCCACCCTAAGTAACATTGGGATGGAAGAATTGGGGGGGGGGCATACACGTATAGGTTGAGGCTTATTGAGGAATGAGAACCCTTTTGAAGAGCAAAATAAACCTGAGCCAGGTGGTGTTAAAAAAAAATCTGTCGTCTTGGGCCCTGATCCTGAAGAGTACGCAGGCTGTACGTACCTATGGATAGTACTATGATGATACTGCTCCTTAAAATATTTGATTCAATCAGTAGAAGAATGCATCAAATAGCTGGTGGGTTGCTTACCAATATGGACGTGGACCCAAACAGAAGAAAGATCGATCCCCCAATCAATATCAACATGCATGAGAATTATTTCAGGGTAGGATATATCAGTGATCTTAGTCGGCTAGATCTTTTGTTTACAAGTCTCAAGTCTGGCTGCTATACAGACAGTATATATGGCCCGAGGATCATAGACCATCACCATCAATGAATTTGGATATCTCTGAATCCACGTGAAGTCACATGAGTCGCACATGATCCCTTGAACTAGGGGATGTGACCAAGTGAAATAATCTAGCTATTTCCTTTCAAAATTCCAAGAAGCATCATTAAAGCTATAGAACTAAGCAAATCCATGATTCAACCAATGGAGCCATGGAGGGGAGCCTTTCAACAACCGGATTATGGATATATCTACATATGTTTTTTTTTCCTTTTTCTTTTTTCARGTTGTTGCATGTAAGGTTGAGAAATAATTCATAATTCACTATTAATCATTCTAATGGTCGAAATTTGAGCTGTCTATATATGCTGCCAAACACCCTCCCTCTGCTGTCGGACAACCATGAGACGTGAGTGGCCCTCATTCGTTATAAAGAACTATTTTATGGGTTGAGGACAGAACTCATCCAGTCCATCCAAATTTGGATGGATATTAATTTGCACATATGATATTATCAAACGTGTAAGTATGGATTCTGCTTCTAAATTCAGATCTCAGACACCATGATTTTATTTTATCTTCTTTGGAAGCTCAATGTATACTACCTGCCATTTTTTGGTAGGCCATCGGGCAATGGTTTAACATGTGGGGAGGGGCCCATGCATGAGTAGAATCATATGAGCATGATGGACACTTGTCAAGCTCTAAACCCAATTTGTCAAAGGGGTCTGCTCAAGGTGTTTGGGAAAGAGGTCATATTGGGGGCCATGTGATTGTTGTAAGGTGTATTAGGGTCGTTTGCTTTGTATTTGTAGTGTCTTTAACTCTTTATGGAGATGTGGACTTGTAAGGGTTAGGCTAATCAGGATAGAAGATAAGAAGAACGTCTCTGAGGCTTGAAGAGTACTGGATTAGCATGGGGATAATTATGAGTGGATTTACAAACTTCATAGTCACACACTCACAGGCGACACGGGGGGAGGGAATAGAGAGGCAAGAGGGTTTGACTTGAATTAATGCAGAGAGAAATGGAGCGTGTGATAAGAGGACGGTGGTGGACCCCTGGGTTAAGCCATGATATTTTGGCTTGGGCATTCATTACCCACCAGAGCAGACACCGATAAATCTGGGTTTGTAGCTACCAGTGGGAAGTAATCAAGGACAATGTGTGTGAAGCATGATGGGTTGTAGTAAGAGATCTACTAAGTGGAAGAGAATGATGAGACAACAAAGGGGGAAGCTTTACATAATGAGAGTCTGCATCTCTATGCTCCTCTGTTGGCACAAGTACTCCTAGCAGCTGAACTTCTTCTTCTTCTTCCTTCTTCTTCTTTGTGTAATATTTCTTCCTTTTCTTGATGTATCTTCTGTTTTGTTTCTCCATGTGTGTAGCTTTTGTTTTTATTAGGTCCAAAATGGAAGAATTAGATGTCTTTCTGTTTAAGTCCATATGTGATTAGAAACAGAAACGGATGAATATATTCTTCTGAAAATTGAGGCTTTAAAATGTGTAATTTTTCACAGGTTGGATTTCATTTATGTTAACTAAATAAATTGATTTTATTTCTTCCTCCCAATGTTCTCTGGAAATAGAATGAGCAATCCTATCTGATCAAGTATGGCAACCATAAGATAAGTGCCTCCGGAGAATCTAATCTATCGTCCAACTATCATTTCTTTGAGAGCCAGATGGAACTCTGAAAATCAGAATACTTCATTGCCATTCATGTTCTGCAGTTTGATGTTTCAACAGTTCTCTTTTTCTAAGGCAAATCCACTCTGACTAGTGGAATGGAAAGTAGTTTTTCCACACATGGCTGTTGTCATTTTGACGCTACATCTGCTGTGACCATCGTGACAGCACTCCTCTGCAACCCCTCAATTAAACATGAACAGGTCAACAATGGAAATAATTTTATTACATCACGTGTTTGCTTGCCTTTGTTTTTCATTTGAGGGAGGGGGAAGGGTCAAGGGAGTTGTACAACCATGGTCGCAGCAGATGTGAATTCCTTCTCTCTTGGCAACTCTTTTCGTTTATTAAAATTCAGGATGTGGGGTAGGCTTTGATACCAAATGTTACATAACTGATCAATAGGCCAAAAGCCCTAGGACCAATGAATTGAAATCTGACAGATGACCCTTAGAACTGTAATACCTTGGAATAAAAGAAATATCATCAACAAAGAGGGCACCATATGTCGAAACCAGCTTTAAATGACTTAAATGACCAAAATACTCTTCTGAGTTATCATTTTTCCTTCATGTATGATTGATGAAAAAGGCCCTCTAGGGTAGTCCACTGGAAGCCAATTCCTTGGCTTTTTTCTCCTTGTGTCTCATGACTTTGGTTGACTCACCTTGGTTTTATCCTCTACCTGTCCCACCCCTTCTTCCCCTCTTTCTATATTCCACAAGTTGTGGATCTTGTCAAGGCCCCCTCAAAGAAACCAAACAACATGCACCCCAAAAACAGCCGTAGGATAGATTTTATAAAAAGGTAAAGAAATTTAGAGAGAGAGAGAGATCCTAAGTTCCTAACTCTTAAGGTAATGCATTAGTCAACTCCGTATTGAATAAGCATTCTGTTCACTATTGATCTTTGTGAACTTGACTAACCCACGCGATAATAATTGATCTTTGTTATGATGTAGAAAAAGGCTAATGATAATCCTACTCAGTAGTACAATTTAATCATCTCCCCAGATGAAACCATCTACTTGTTAGTTAAGCCCAATAATTGTACTCCCAAGACTTTGAATAGAACTATTGCAAAAACACTTCATTATGGATGTTGATTTCCAGTTCAGATAATCTTGCACAGTTACACCGACTAAACCCATAGATTCTGCTATATATATATATGTATTTCCAAGATCAATTTGATTAGGGGATACAATT